GGGGTGGGGGGGAAGGGTTACCTGGGAACTTGAGAAGCCGACTCACCCTGGGGAGTGCTGGTAGGACAATGCTCGTTAGTACAAGAGATGCCAGAAAAGAGAATTTGATCGTGTGTCTCTCCCGAGCAGTGCTGCAAAAAGGGGAATTGGAGGATACAATCAGATTAGTTTTATTGCAAAGACTACAGTGAATTTCAAGAAGGGAGCCCTGCTTCCCAAGCCTGTTGTGAAGATAAATAATCCCAGCGTTGTACTCCCAGCTCAGGTCCAAACAGCTTCAACTGAAATGGCACATTGGAAACGGCAGATTGGCTCTGCTGGTGGCACCAGTCCAAGCCGACAACAGGGCCCGACTTTGTTCATTGCCACAGGTGCTGAATTCTCTCTTTTTGCATCCAGATAACTCAAGGCTACTTTTCCACTGAGTCTTGCATCTCGTGGCTTGAACAAGTCCTTTCGTTGTGCCGTTGGTATGTGCCAAGTGGCTCTGCCTGTATGCTAAAGCCACGAGGGTTTTCTTGCAGCCTAGAAGCCTGGTGGGAGCTCTGCACACCACCACGGATCCAGCAGTATTCATCTAATGCAGACATTTCTGCTGGCCCAGTACAAACCCTGTGACTGTACAGAAAATCCTGCTTCTCAAAATCATTCCAACTATGACTTCTTTTTGAAGTGAAAAGCAGGGTCAGAGGTGCCCGTTAGCCAGCCTAAGCCTGGTAGTGAAGATGAGCTTAACCCAGTGCAGCAGTGGGAATTGCTCCGGTGCTGGAATACGAGCCAACTCCTGGAGCTGCCTTGTCCCTTGGGCCTCGCTGCCTGTGGGCAGTCTCTGTTTTTCAGGCTGTTCTCCTGGAAACAAGGCCACTGCTCCCTCTGAAACCCTGAACTGTAGTATTTTGTGGCTGTGGGTTTGCCCAGAGTTGACATTTACATGGGAACGCGAACAAGATCTGTTCAGGAGCTTCTCAATTACAGCCATGCAGATAAAAAGTTTCTTCTCCTCAAAAACAAGAGCCTTCTCTGCAGGGAACTTGGATGGGTTTATCTGAAACCTTAACTCAGGGTGCACGGCTTGAAGACTGTCATGGCAGAGCTGGAAGCATTAGATGTTTGAAAGCACAAGTGATTACAAAGGTTGACTGTATATTCCGTAGCAGGTTGTTTTCTTCACTATTAATAAGCTCTAACCATGCCCTGTAATAGGTATAACCACAGCTGTATTTGATTTAAACATTGGAGAACCCTATCCAAGATGAATTTCAAGAGTAGATCCTATAGTCCTGGCGATTCCCCAAGGACATATATTTACCCCTGTACCCTTTGCACAGACAAGGGATGTGGCTGACTGACCCAGTAAATGAGAACGCAGTGTAATGGAAAAAAACCACAGCTGTGTTTATTCCAATAACTTGTCTCCCGGTGCACCAACCTCTGCCTCAATAAGCAACTGTGTTTGTTTCAGTGGCTGCGCTTTCTAGGCCTTCAGCAGGTCTGGAAATACCACAAGCAAATAGACAGAGTGCTTCTAGCTCAGGTTTAGAGATGCGTCTTAGTCTGGGGAGGAAAAACAGTGTCTGCCTTTTCTACTCTAGCTTCGCTGTGAGCTTAAGGCAAAGAACGTATTTGCAGGTTTTTAAACCTGCTCCTCTTCTCACGCCTGTGGGTCCCTGAAAGAAAGGAAAGAAGTACTAACAATTCATTCTTGCTCTCTCAAACAGCAGGACCACTGCTCGCTCTGTCTGAAATAGGACCGCTGTTTCTCTCTCAGGATTCTGAATATGCAGGTCATTTTCATGTGTGAAGGAATCTAGATTATGAAATCTAAACAGAAGTATGGACTGTGATTAATATAGAGAAGGAAATTAAATTGCAAATAAGCCTGAAAAAGTATCTGTCCATTGAGCAACCAGACTAATAAGGGTTAATAAACGCCAAAGATTAGACTTGCAAATTCAGTCTCTACATAACCAACCAGTTTTTCCAGGAAAAGAAAAGAAGTTGTTGTGAAGGTGACTTGCAAAATATGTCTAAATCTAATAAATATGCATGGTACAGTGCTACTGACCGTAAAAGGATATGAGGTGACAGAAGGAAATCCAGGATCAAGTTTAAAAAGAAAAAAAAAAATCTAACTTCTAATTTAAACTAGGTTGGATGCCAGTTCTCCACAAGATTGAAGCCTGACTCCTTATTCACCATGACATGGTTTCCACTGTAATCTTCCCAGTTTTTTTGTTCTACTTCTCCTGTAATAAGTACACTTCTGTACTTTGCCAGCTTAGAGTTTTAACGTTTGTGAATACTATCACTCTTCAAAAGGATTTTTGCAAAGGCAAATAGGAACCGGGGCTTGGTAGCTGATAAATCTCAGCCTGTAGCACTGCAATATTTGATAATCCCTGTAGCCTAAAATCCCAGTCCAGCTGCAATCCTTCATATTCTGTCCAAGCGATGTGCTGTCACAAAACTCTTCTCTTTCATGAAAACTGCGGAATGGAAAGGCACCTTCCTACCTGTCCAAGTAAAATATATAATTACACAAAAGCGGCTGACCCTTATCTTGCCTCTCAACCTCAGCTGCTTTTCTGGCCAAACTTGAGAACTCAATCTCATGCAGATGCTGATCAAAGTACTCAAAAGCATACCAGGTGTTTAATATAGACACTCCTCTCCAACATCCCCAGAACCCAAACATACCTACACAGGGATAAGTGGTGGGTTTTTTGTATATGTTGTGCTTGAGCACAAATGAGCTGTGTTCATTTGTGCATTTTGTGAGGACTTCATTGTTCTGCAGTATGTGGCTTCTAACTTTAATACAGATTACCACTGGCTAATTCAAATAA